TTCCCACTATGAGAATTCAATAAAATTTTAGCACCCAAAAGGATTAAAAAAAAAAAAAAAAAGGCAAAGGATTCACTCAGCTGCACTCAGCGGCATGGGCAGCAAATCAACCGCCCGTTCCACGCGGAAGGCGACCCCAGCCCGTCAGAGACGCACGAGGAGCCCACGAAGACCTGCACCTGACACAGCCCGTTTCCGGTTGAGCTGAGCTGTTGTCTCTAGAACAAAGGCCATCGCGCAGCCGAGGAGCAGCCTGAAATGCATGCAGCGGGGACACCCACGCAGCCACCCCGGTCCTGACGCCAGCGGGTCCCCATCCCGGAGCGGCGCCCGCGCCCAGCCCTGCTCCACATCCCGAGTGGCGCGGGGGACTGGGACTGCCTCCACAACCCTCGCTCCGTTACGGAGGCTTTTAATTTTCGAGACAGAGTCTCACTCTGTTGCCCAGGCTAGAGTGAGTGCCGTGGCGTCAGCCTAGCTCACAGCAACCTCAGACTCCTGGGCTCAAGCGATCCTTCTGCCTCAGCCTCCCAAGTAGCTGGGACTACAGGCACGCGCCACCACGCCCGGCTGAGTTTTTCTATTTTTTAGTTGTTTGGCTAATTTCCTTCTATTTTTAGTAGAGACGGGGGTCTCGCTCTTGCTCAGGCTGGTTTTGAACTCCCGACCTCCAGCGATCCTCCCGCCTCGGCCTCCCAGAGTGCTGGGATGACCGGCGTGAGCCACCGCGCCCGGTCCCTGGTGGCTTTTTACGCCACGAAAAGGGGGCAGAGCAGCCCCGCAGCCCTGGCTCTCCAGGGCTCCCGCTGCGGCGCCCAGGCCGGCGTCCTCCTACCTTCAGGACCTGTTCTAGGTTCTCCAGCTTGGCTCGCGCTGGCGCCTCTCCCTCACGGCCGAATGGCGTTAGCAGGCGACCACGGTGCGCGAGGGGCGGGGCTGGGCATGCTCCACCTTCACCTGCGGGAGGGAGGAGGGGGACAGGGTCAGGACACACCTGGGGTGCACAGACATCGCCTCCTCCCCACCAGGACCCAGGCCGTCAGCCTCCTTCCGCGGACTCCTCCTCCTCACGCTTTATCCTCCAGCCCGGACCTGCCCGCAGGTGCGCTCCTGCTGGGGGGCCACACCTGACTGAGGGCTGGCCAATCAGCACTCGACCTCCCCCTCCACCCCCCCACCCCCACCGCAGCCTCAGCACCTGGCGTGCGCCCCAGGCCTGGCCAATCAGTGCAAGCCCAGGCCCTGGGCACGGGATTGGTTCGGGAGGTCACGGGACCCCCCCCCCCCACTCTTGCCTCCTTGGGGAAATGAGACGTTAAGACTTGTGTAGCAGCCGGGAAGACCCCTCTCTTTTGCCCGCTGAACCTGGAAAGGTGAGGACAACAGGCTGGAGCTGCCGTGCCACTTGCCATCATGAGGACAGAGCCAGTGAGACAGACACGGAGCCAGGAGACACAGTGGGAAAAGCAGGATGCTGAGGGCATCTTTTTCTAAGCACCTAGATCAAGCTGTGCCTGAGGCTGTCTTTTCCTCTCCAGATACCTGGGCCAGTAGAGTCTCTCTGTTTGCTTGCACCAGTTTGAATTGTTGCCTGTCCCTTATAACTATGAGAGTCCTGACAGATACCAAAGTGTTACCCCTACTGTCTGGGCACACTCATTCTTCTGCATAAAATTTTCCCCTTTGTCTTAGAAGTAGATAAAAAAAAAAAAAATGGCAACAGAACTCCACATGGATTAGAGTGGATTCCCCAGTAAACTCAGAAACCACGTCAGTTCCAGCCTCAGGACACAGGCCCCAGTGGAGGCACCCGGTCTCCTCAGCCTCTCCTGAGGCTTTTGTGGAACAGGCGAGGGCCTGCGGTGACGGGAGAGGCTGCCACGGTTTCTATCCTGTTGATTCTGGAAGCAACACGTTTGAACCCAACCACCGACCTGCAGCGTCTTTTCCTCCACCCCCCCTCGTTACGACGTGAATTCTGGCCCCAGTAACAGACCATCCTAAAGTCATGCTTTTCAGCTGCAGAAAGCCTTCCTGCTGCAAATCCTTTACGTGCTGCGTGTTAGTTTAACCCAGGGCTCCTCAAACTTTCTAAACAGGGGCCAGTCCACCGTCCCTCAGACCGCTGGAGGGCCGGACTACAGTTTAAAAAAGAAAAAAAAAAAAATGAACAAATTCCTATGCACACGGCACATAGCTTACTTTGAAGTTAAAACACAATCGGGCAAAATCGCCCGCACGCGGCCCGCGGCCGTGGCTTGAGGACGCCCGGTTTGACCCGACGAGTCCCTTCGGCGGGAAGAAAGGGCAGGCTCCCACTGGGCGTGGCTATGCGGGGCAGCGTGGCGGAGAGCTGTCTCGGAGAGCCGGGGCGAGGCCCGTCCGCGGCGCGTCGTCACGCCATCCTGCCACGACGGAGGCGTGGGCAAACGCGCCAGGCTCCCGCGGAAAGGTCACGGCCATGCTCGCCAGACAGTCTTGGCTCCTGAGCCCGAGCGCCGGGGCGCAGGCCGGCCGCGAGCCTTCGCTTCCCACCTCTGGCCGCTCAAGAGAATCAGACTTGCGGGTGACGCTGCCACGTCCCTAAATCCAGTCTCTCCCTGCTTGGAACCGCGGTGTCCATGGAAACGGAAATAAAATCCAAACTCCCTGGGGGTCTACAAGGCCCTGCAGGGTCTGGTCCCGGGCACCTGCTCCCCTCTTGTCACCGTTCACCTGTGACGCTCCAGCCCCCTTTCCTGTGCCTTAGACGAGCCAAGCTCGTTCCCACCCCAGGGCCTTTGCACCTGCCGATTCCACCGCCAGGCATGTCCCGCCGGCCACCACCACCCCTCTCCTTCCTGCTTTGCCACGCTTTCTTTCCCCCGGGCCCTTGTCGCCCTGTCCCATGCAGGTGTTCACACTCTCCTCCTCGGTGGCTTCTCTGGGGAGTCTCCCCTGCGGAGACCCTGAGGGAGGCCCCGTGTGTCCCGCACGGTCCTCCAGCGTCGCCTGAGCAGAAACTGCTGGGCCGGGCGGGTGAAGCCGCTTCGCGGACGCAAAGCTTCCTGGGAGAGGCTGTGGCTCTTCCTCTGCCAGCTGGGGCGGGAGAGGCAGGTGGGACGCCTCCGACACGGCGTCACAGAAGCCACCACCACGCGTGCACGGCCGGGCGCACAGCCACTGGGGTCCTTGCTCCTTCCCCAAGTAGCTGCCTCTGCCCGGGCCTGCCTTCCTGGGCTCAGGGCTCTGCGGGCGGCGGGAGTGATCCCAGCTGGGACACCCGGGGAGCGCAGCTTCTCTCTAACTGGCAGCAGCTGGTCCCGCCCCGGCAGAGGCCGCCTCTAAGTCTCACACACTGTAAAGGCCGGGCGCCGTGGCTCACGCCTGTCATCCCAGTACTCTGGGAGGCCGAGGCGGGAGGATCGCTCGAGCTCAGGAGTTCGAGACCAGCCTGAGCAAGAGCGAGACCCCGTCTCTACTATAAATAGAAAGAAATTAATCGGCCAACTAAAAATATATAGAAAAAATTAGCCGGGCATGGTGGCGCATGCCTGTAGTCCCAGCTACTCGGGAGGCTGAGGCAGGAGGATCGCTTGAGCCCAGGAGTTTGAGGTTGCTGTGATCCAGGCTGACGCCACGGCACTCACTCTAGCCTGGGCAACACAGCTAGACTCTGTCTCAAAAAAAGAAACACTCTAAATATTGGCTGGGACGGGCCACCCGGATGCTGGCATCTCAGGGGCCGATGGCTCAGTACAGTGCCCGGCATGGTCTCTTCTCCGCCCCGTTGGCCTTTGCAGCCGGGCGCCTGGTGTGTCGGGTGTCGGCCGACAGGCGCCCGGGGGGCCCCGGCTGCACGCACTCCAGGGCTGCCCGGCCCCCGCTGCAGCCACCTGTCTGTCCCTTTCGTGCCCAGAGGACCGCCCTGTTAGCCAGGCCCACATGCCCCTCGCACTTGCTCTAGAACATTCCCCCAAGAACTGAGCCAGGCTGTTCTCCTACTAAATCAGGGGTCCCCAAACTTTTTAAACAGGGGGCCAGTTCACTGTCCCTCAGACTGTTGGAGGGTCGGACTACAGTTTAAAAAAAAAAACTATGAACAAGTTCTTATGCACGCTGCACATATCTTATTTTGAAGTAAAAAAACAAACGGGCAAAAACACCTGCATGTGGCCCCCGGGCCGCGGTTCGAGGACGCCTGTACCAGAGGAATAACACAAAGGACAGAAAGAGATTTTCAAAACGGGCATACAACCAAAACCCAAAAAGTTCCCAGCCGTGCAAAGCCGGGAGCCCAGACAATTCCCCCTTTATCCTGGTTAAAGTTAAAGCAAAGAACAATTCACTCCTATAAGACTTTTTTTTTTTTTTTTTGCAACCAAGGCAAAACAAATAATGATATTCAGGTGCAAGCCTGGGCTGAGCACGCACCTTTCAGCCAAAAACTGAGCCTCAAAAATCCCCAATGTCTACACGTGCCATCCTCGTAAACTTTCATCGTTTTCACGTTTAAAACTAAAGAGAAGGGGGAAGTTGCCACAGGTGGCACTATCATCGTCCACACGTGCGTCCCGGGGCTTCCGGCCGGCCTGGGGTTTCTGGCCAGCGAGGAAGCGGAGTCCACAGGTCCTGGACTTCACCGCCCACCCAGCACCTGCTCCCGGAGCGCCGGGCGCCGACAGGTCTGAGAGTGTCCCCGAGACCTGCCCCTGCGCAGGACACAGGGTGACCGGGGCACAGGCCCGGCCGCTCCTCTCACTTCTGTTTCAAAACCCAGATTTCTGCGGCACCGGGCGGAAGAGAAGCTAAAACTCTGGGCAGCAGCTGCTCAACTTGACGAACACCTTGAACCTCAGACCTGCCGCAGGACCAGCCGCCCGGCCGGGGGAGGGGGCTTAATAGGCCCCTTCTGCCCCAAGGCAACAGGAAATGTGAATGTTTTTTGTTTTTTTTTTTTTTGAGACAGAGTCTCACCCTGAGCTAGAACTTCCCAGCCTCTAGAACTGTAGGTATAAATGTCTCTTGTTCTTGACAATGACCACAGGAGGACAATGCGACCACAGGAGGACAATGACCAACAGGGGCAGGCACAAATAAGGGCCACCAGGAGCACAATGGGCAGAGGGGCACAGATGACCACAGGAGGACAATGACCAACAGGGGCAACAATGACCACAG